GGTCCCCAACCCTGCTGGCAGCACAAGATCACAGACGGATCCCAAGTCTGATGGGGAGTTCCTGGAATGGGCAGACCTTGACAAGGCCACACTTGCAGGGCACGGTGCCCAGGGACACAGGCAGGGACAGGAACACCTCCACCCCAGACCCGTAGCCCCATAGGCAGCACACACGTAGGAGCCAATGTCCAGGCCCCAGTGATGGTGTGATTAGTGAGGACAGCATCTCCTGGCCTCAGAGGCCTGGGGAGGCCGACAGGGTCGGTGGGGTGGGCTTTGGAGATGGGCTGCCCTGCCGAGAGCCCCGTGACTGTCCCCTCCCCGGTGCCGAGTCTGCTCCAAGTGCGTGCTGTGCATGGGCACATTACCCCAGGAGGCCCTCGCTCCCCTCTGCTGCTCCGTCCATTCCCAGGGAGCTGAGGGCCGCTGGGCCCACTGACGGCTGCCCCTCCCCCGCCCAGGCATGTCCAGGCCCAGGCCCGTGGTGCTCAGTGGGCCCTCAGGGGCCGGGAAGAGCACGCTGCTGAAGAAGCTCTTCCAGGAGTATGGCAGCATCTTCGGATTCAGCGTGTCCCGTAAGTCCTGGGGGTGAGGGAGAGAGGGGCAGGTGAGCGAGGGGCTGCTGGGGGCTGTCCCTGCACTGAGACCTGTCCTGGACCCCCCTCCCCCCCACACACACAGGCAGGGGGCTGCCCTTTTTTCATTGCCCTTTGAGCCTCCTGTTTGTCCTCCTCTGGGCGGGGTTAGGGTTGGTGTCTGCACTCCTGGTGGGGGCCCACTCTGGTCCCTGAGCCTCCCCTCATCAGAGTTTGCTTTGTGCGGCCTCTTCTTTCTGGTCTTCGTGCTGAGTGGGCCATTGGGGACACCCGGGTGGGAAGCTGCAGGGGCCACACGGGGTGACATGTGTCTTTCCACAGATACCACGAGGGACCCGCGCCCTGGCGAGGAGAACGGCAAACGTGAGCTGGGGGGGTGGGCTCGGGCCTGGCGTGCAGCCCATGGGGGTGGCATGGAGGCCTGCGGGACCCCTGGCTCCTGAGCAGCGGGGCCGCCCGCGCCGTTGATCAGCAGTGCTGCTGTTAGACGTCCCTGCCTCCCCTGAGGAACCCGGAGGCCTTTATTCCCCATGCCAGGAGAACAGTGTGGGATGTGCCTGTCCCCTCCCAGCCCGGCCCCTGCGCAGCACTCGTGAGGTTCTCTTCCCTCTGCTGCCCAGTCCGGTTCCAGCCGGGGCGGCCCTGGTTGGGGCGGGACGGTAGGTGGGCCAGGGGAGGAGAGCTGGCCCTGGCCGTGCTGGGCCCCCTGGGCACCCTCTAGACAGTCCTCTTTCTCTCCAGATTACTACTTCGTGACCAGGGAGGTGATGCAGCGCGACATCGCCGCTGGCGACTTCATTGAGCACGCCGAGTTCTCCGGGAACCTGTACGGCACCAGGTGGGCTTCGCTCGGGGCTGGCTCTGGGGTGGTTGTGAGCCGTGGCCAGTCCTCGCCTGGGCCTGGGCTGGCAGGTCTGTGGCCCGCGCGACGCACCCTTTCCGCCGAGTAGGCGCAGGGTTTCGGGGCCTCTCCCTCGGGGCTGCCGAGCCTGGCTGGGGAGCGGGCGGCCTTTCCTGCTGCCGTGCACCGTTCTGGTGGAGTGAAGGGTGCGTGGCGCACCTAGCATCGCTGGGGCTCCGCTGCCCTGCGGGCGGGTGTGCAGTGCAGGGCGACCCCAGCAGAATGTGCTCAGGTGCTCCAGGGGGTGTGGGGGGTGCCAGGGCCTGGGAAGCCCCTGCCACTGCCCAGGGTGGGCCTTGTGAGGAGGCAGGCCCTGGAGGCCAGCAGGGAGCATTTGGGTCTCATGCAGGCTCTCGGTGGCCTCGGGGATACCCGACTGCTCCGAGGACCCTTTCCGCTGACCCGTGCCCGTTCCCAGCAAGGCGGCCGTGCAGGCGGTGCAGGCCATGAACCGCATCTGCGTGCTGGACGTGGACCTGCAGGGCGTGCGCAACATCAAGAAGACCGACCTGCAGCCCCTTTACATCTCCGTGCAGCCGCCCTCGCTGGGCGTGCTGGTGAGTGCCCAGCCGGGGTGGGTGTGGGGGCGCCGCCCTGCCCGGGGCTGCTGACTGGGCCTCTGCTTGCCTCGCAGGAGCAGCGGCTGCGGCAGCGCAACACGGAGACGGAGGAGAGCCTGGCAAAGCGGCTGGCCGCTGCCCGGGCCGACCTGGAGAGCAGTGAGCACGTGGGAGTGTCCCAGGAGGGTCCCCAGGCCCCTCTCACCCAGGGTCCCTCCCCTCCCACCTGGGGGCGTCAAGGTTTCCTCTCCTGGTTGTTCCCTTCCCGTCGCCCAGGAGAAGAGGATGTTTAAATGTCCACCTTGCAGGGCAGCACGAGCCCCAGTCAGAGGCCCGGGCGAGGCCAGCTGTGCCTGGTGGGGCTTGGTGTCCCGGATCCAGGACCCAGAGGCTCCTGGGACTGGGCCCCAGGGCTCATCCCTTCCCTTCCCAGCCCTGCCCTGCCTGTGGCCGGACAGTGGTGGCAGAGGGCGGCAGCCGGGTGGTCAGCTTGGGTGGCCGTGTGGGAGTGGGGGTGGAGCGTAGGCAGGCTCTCTCTGTCCCTGACCTGGACACCCACCCTGCCCCAGGCAAGGAGCCGGGCCTGTTTGACCTGATCATCATCAACGATGACCTGGACACGGCCTACACGGAGCTGAAGGAGGCGCTGTCTGAGGTGGGCCTGCCCCTGCCCTGCCTGGGCGCCACCTTCCTGCCAACGCGGGTGAGGCCGGCGCTGTGGAGGGAGGACCGGAGGCCCTGCCCGTCCTGAGTTCCGGCCTCTCCAACTCCCTTTCTTTCTCTCTGGCAGGAAATTAAGAAAGCGCAGGGGACCGGCTGTGCCTGAGGAGGCCTGCTCTGCTCCTGGGCGCCTTCTGTGCCTGCCCCCTGCCAGGGCCCACGTGGGACCAGGACGGGTGCGCAGAGCCACCCCCTCGGCGGGCCCCTGGGCGGCTCTGGGCACTCGGCCAGCGCCTGGGCTGGAGGGGTGCTACCCACCTAGCCTCCCATGGTCAGAGGGGCTGGACGCCCCTGCCCACACTGTTCCCCTCCCTGGGCTGTTCCCTGCCTGCCTCTCCCACTGGAGCCGGGGCTGACGTCTAATAAAGTAACTGTGGTTAGAGCGTCCACGAGTGAGTGGAGTGTGGCCCTGAGGTTGGCAGGGCTTGGTCCTGAGCAGGGCTGGGGCCGCAGCCCCCTGCGCTAGAGCCCCAGGCCCTGGCAGCCCATCCAGCCAACAGCCCCAAAAGGGCAGCCAGGTGGGCTCTGCCTGGGCAGCTGTCAGCAGCACAGTGGGCAGGGTGCAGGGAGAGCCCGGGGAGCGTGGCAGAGCCGTTCTCGCACACCTGGTGGGCTGCCCAGAGCGAGGGGCTGGTGAGGGGCAGAGGACGGGCCGAGAAGGCTGGCTCTGAGCTGGGCCAGGAGGAGGGTGCCGGGCGCGTGAGGGGCTGAGTGGGGAAGCCGAGGCTGCAGGGGCGGGGCCCTGCATGAGGTCCCAGGAGAGGCCAGCCCAGCCCTGGCCATGGCCTCTGGGGGCAGGTTGGGGAAGGGGCAGCATCCTGCACATGGGGGCAGCTGCTCAGCCTTCTCCCTCCCTCCTTCCCTTCTGGAGAGCCCCCGTCCCCCAGGGTTAGCCTCAGCCCTGGTCAGAGCCCAGGTGGGGGATGGGGGGGCAGGCAGGGAGCCCAAGCGGAAGTAGCGGGGAGAGCACACAGTCCTGGGTTCTGTCCATGTCCATCCCAAAGCCCAGACGCTCCGGGAGACGGCAGAGGAGGGGAGGGTGCAGGAGCTTCTGCCGACTGCTGCCTGGGAGGGCCGTCTCAGCGCCCTGCCCCCAGAGACAATCAGGGATTCAGGCCCTGAGGCCAGGGGGGAACAATGGGGCCCTTGAGTGCCCCTCCCCTGCCCCCCATTGTGCTTGGTGGCGAGAGGTGGCCCTGGCCCTGCTGCGCACCCTCTGGGAGTTCCAGCATCTACACAGGTGGAAGGGCTCAGAGGCAGACGCACATTTCCTGGCCTGGAGAAGGTAGGGGCCTGTGGGGCAGGGGCATCCACCCTCTGCCTCAGGAGGCAGCGTCACCCCTGCACCCCACTGGCTGTCAGGCCCCGCAGGGAGGCCGGGGTCCAAGGAGGACCAGCCTAGTAGGGTGGCGAGGCCGCCGGGGGCCTGCTGCTCCGCGCTGTCTGTCCGCCTTGGGCCCAGCTGCCCTCCTCACGGGCTGGGGCTGACCGGCTGGATCTCAGGGCAACAAGACCAGTGGGGGCCAGACGCAGAATCTGGGGTCCTGGGAGCTGCTCAGGGCCAGCTGGTGGCTGGGAGGGGTGCACCCAATACCTCCCCCGGCAGCTGGGGCCCCTCAGGCAGAGGGAGGGCCAGCCCTTCCCCACCAGCCAGCTGCAGTGTGTCCAGAGGCCAGGCAGGGCCCAGCGCTCCACACTCTGGCCCCTCACAAAGGCGCAGATCTGGGCCCTGCTCAGCCTCAGGTGGCCCCAAAGTACCTCTGCGCTCCCCGCCCTCAGAATGGCACAGACAGGGCCCTCTTTTTTTTTTTCTGAGACAGAATCTCACTGTGTTGCCCGGGCTAGAGTGCCGTGGCGTCAGCCTAGCTCACAGCAACCTCAAACTCCTGGGCTCAAGCGATCCTTCTGCCTCAGC